TGTTTGCTTTATTGATATTGAATCCTAGAGCCTCACACTTGTTATGCAAGCACTCTTCCACTTTCTAATCTCCCCCCCCCCTTTTTTTTTGAGATAGGGTCTTGCTGTGTAGCCTTGGCTGGCCTGGAACTCACTGCAGACCAGGCTAGCCTCATACAGAGACCTGCCTGTCTCTGCCTCTGGAGTGCCGAAGTAAGAATATATACTATGACACCTGTCCCAAGTCTGGGTTTGGTTTTGATTTCAGGCAGAGACTCACTTTTTAGCTCAGGCTGGCCTAGAATTCAGGCAGTCCTCTTGCCTCAGCTTCTTAAGTAGCTGGGTACCAATCAGGGCACTTGGAGGCCTGGTGAATCTACCTTACTCTTGTGTATCATTGAATTAGATACTAATAGGTATAAATATCACATCCTTTATGGTACATCAAATGAAAAGACCATGGTTTTTCCTCCTGAAAATCACTCTGGGGGAGGTTGTTTGTTTTTTAAGATTCTGGAGATGAAAAGCGGGGCCTGGTGCATGCTAAGTCAGCGCTGTACCATTGAGCTTCATCCTTAGCCCCTAGAAAGTCCATCCTTGACCAGGTGTGGTGATACACCTACAGTCTCAGAAGTTTGGACACTGGGGCTGGAAATTCCTGAGAGTTGGAGGCCAGCCCAGGCCACAGTGTGAGACTCCCAGCCTCAACCCCCAAAAAAGAAGAGGCCGAGGAAAGAAAATAGAGATGTTCATGACACAATGAGGGTCCAACTATGTATGTATGGCATTTGAACAAAGTACGTGCTGGGTAGCCTCTCTCTGACTTTGAAGAGTAACTTGTTGTTTTGGATTGTTGTTTTATTTGTTGTGTAACTTTGGAGTCAGGAAGGCATTTACAGCCCAAATACACTCTCTTGGCTTGGCTTACAGGAGTGAGCCACTGTATGCTTTATTTTGAGGACGGTCAGCTCATCTACTCTTCTCCATCTCTTCTGCCCTTTTAAAATTGTTCCTCTTTCTTCCACTTTCATCATCTCCACATGTTTTACGTCATCATCCCTCAGCAGCTAAAGAATACAGATTTCTTGTAGAGATCTATTTATTTATTATGTATACAGTGTTCTGCCAGAAGAGGGCACCAGATCGCATTATAGATGGTTTGTGAGCCACCATGTGGTTGCTGGGAATTGAACTCAGGACCTCTGAAAGAGCAGCTAGTGCTCTTAACTTCTGAGCCATATCTCCAGCTCCAAGAATACAAAATTTTATAACATGACTTTTACTTTCCTGTTCTCCCTTTTCTCCTAGGAGCAACTCCATAATAGTTTCTATGGCCTACAAGACCCACCTCTTCTCACTCCCATTCCCCACCTAATTGCCCTCCATCATTTTGTTTTTTTTGTTTTTTCAAGACAGAGTTTCTTTGTGTAACAGCCCTAGCTGTCCTGGAACTCACTCTGTAGACCAGGCTGGCCTCGAATTCACAGAGATCCACCTGCCTCTGCCTCCCGAGTGTTGGTACTAAAGGTGTGCACCACCATCGCCCAGCTGCCCTCCATTCTTTTTATGTTCACTGCTATGTATACATGGGCTGGAACAAAATATGTATTCAGTAAATGTTTGGTAAATGGATTTGTATACTTATGCTGGCATTTGAATTCAAGAGAAGCAGTACCCATTCTTTATGGTAAAAATGTGATTATATAGCAGAAGTGGGTTCTGATCCCATTTCTTCCTTGTCACAGTATTCTCAGGCAAATCAGTCATCTGCTCTGAGCCTATTTCAGTAGCTGTGAAAGAGGAGTGATAGTGTATTAATAATCCGGTTTTAACTACATGGTGATGCCATATTAAAGGACCTGACACACTGCACTCAGGCTATTTTAGTTATTGATGATATTGTCTTCAGGTTATGGTTCTCTGAAATCCTAGGCAACAGTAGAGTTTGTATTTCTCTCTTGTTTTTTTTTTATTTTTTTTGAAACAGTATTTTACTTTATACCTCAGAGAGGCTTCAAACTTGCATCCTTCTGCCTCAGCTTGCCAAGTGGAGACTAGAGGCGTGGGATAGTTCATGTTGTTTGTTTGCTGTTGTTACTTGCAGAATTGGGGATTGAACTCAGGGCTTTGTGTGTGCTAGGCGTAGGCATGTGTTCTACCACTGAGTCATATCCTTAGCTGTTTGTTGATAGGATGTTTATTATATACAGGTGCAAGCAAAGGGTGGCCTCTGTATCGAGTGGTTTTCATAGTATCCATAGCCTGTTTCTAAGTGCTGGCATGCAGCAAGAGCATGGAGTTAAAGTAGCAACTGAGCTGGAAGGGTTGATGTACTTCAAATTATAAATCTTGTGTGACCTCAGCTGTGGAGGCACGTCTGCTTGGTTTAACCTGGGTGTTTGAGTGTCACTTTGGAATCTTCTACTTCCCGATAGTTTCCAGTATTCTAGAGTGGTAGGCCCTGCAAAGGGATGGGAAGTTAGAAGCTGGAGTAGGCCTCTAACTTTGAAAGCTGTTTATTAAAGCAAGCTGATGCATTGTTAATGTTCTGAGAACGGCTAACCCTAATCCTGCAATCCTTCTCAGTATTAGGCCTTTTAATAGGAGGTAACGTGAAGAGGTGGCCCCCAAACAGCCCTTTGTTGTAGAATTTGGAAGATCCCTCGGGTAGGTTATGGAACACAGGCTTTGTGGGCTTAGCTACCAAGACATAGAAGGCCAGACTTGGAAAGTCACTTAGCTGTGGTTTGTAAGGCAGGAGCTGGGTACCTTCAAGTGTCTTGTTTGCCTCAATGACTTTGCACAAATACAGTGAATCTTTGGCTGTGAGCCCGCATGCCCTAACAGAGGCACTTCACAGCTGCACAAGGCAGTAAGTAAAGCTGACAGACACCAGAGTGCCTGGAACCCTGCCTGCCTAAGGCACTTTTCTTACAGGGAGGGCCGCAGGAGCAAAAGGTGGGTAATCTGCTAAACCCCCTGCCACACGGTTTGCCCCTCCCACTCTCAATTTCTTCATCTGTAACGGATAGTTGTGGCTACCAGTGCAGTCCTCTCTGATCTGTTGGCCTGCGCCGGAAACTGGGTTGCAAGAACTTGGCCAGGTCCCTCGCTTCTATGAGCCTCAGTTTCCCCATTTTTAGGAAAGAGGTAATAACGGTCTCTGTCTTCTTCGGGTTGTTCTGAGGTGTGAACAAGATAGCATGGCAGAAGCACTCCAGCAAACTTATCAAGGCCAGGCAGGGCTCTCCTGCTCCTCTGGGCCTCCTACCGGCCACAGGCAGAACGAGGGTTAGGAGGAGGGCCCATCTCTTCCTGGTTCTGTGCCCCCCCTAGATACTCCCCACCTTCCACCGGGATG